CAAAAATATTCACCAAAATTAGAGAATTGAAGATATCAACATGAAATGAACAAACCTAAGAGAGGTCTACCCAAGGTACATATACCCCAAGTATCAAAGCATTCAGGCTTGTAGTTTTCAAGAAGAAGTCAAAAAAGTAAAACATTGACACGGACGACGGACGACGGACAATCACTCATATGATAAGCTCCGCTCGACAAAGTCGACAGCGGAGCTAAAAAGATGTTGTTGCTCCTGATTTCCGTCATCTTTATACTTTTTTGTAAATAAAATTTTTATTGTACCAAACTGCAAAATACATAAGTATACATTAAAATGTTTTTCACAATCGAGATATCAACGTACGATAGTGTCGCATCAATGATATGCCAGTGAATTGGCACAACTCGTTGCATCACAGCAAATCTTTTCGCATCAGTGCTGCATCATATCAGCTTATAGGTCACACTATTTTTACTAGTACAGAATGTAGTAAAACTAGTACTTCAATGTCAAGAACAAATAGACTTTGTGATCAGTGACTACAAACATTGTAGATATACAGTATTCTAAATCATTGTGAAGAACACTTTGTTCTGGTCTAGCAATCTTTACCAGCATGACATCATTATGTACGTGTCCAATGGCAGATATTACATCACATCACTAACAGAATGATGTTCAAACCTGGAAGAACCATTGAACAATTAATGCTGTCAATTTAGAAATAACTACATCATTCTGGTGGATGAACTTTGCATGAATTGAACATTTTTTTTTTGCGATATACCCCCCGGTAATTTCATCATTTTTTATCCAAAGCCTGCCATGTCAGAACACAACAAAAATTATATATATATCAATTAACATTACTGTTTTTACATTTATGACTTTAAAGTAATGAACAATTTGTCAAAATATTATAATCCACAACTAACAGCACCCTACACACTACAATTTACTCAAGTTCACCATATAGAATCAAATAATAATGTGCACATGAAATGCAACATCCCCCTCCCCCCATCAACACTGACACATTAACTGCAGGTTACATAAACTGTTTTGATGAAACAAGTGCCGCCACCCCCCAAAACTGATGATGCAATAGACACCAGGTCAACACCCCCCCCCCCCCCCCAACACATTGACCTCTGCAGGGTTTTTTCTAGAAAAAATGAACAAGAGGGAGCACACACAGTTGAGGAAGCGAAGCGATCAAGTTGGAGGGTATATCGGAAGCTTTCTGTGCCATTTTAACGGTATATCTATTACCACTGAAATATTTTTGGAGTAATTTTAGTGTATTTGGTATCCAGACACATTGTCAGCTGGTGTTTTCACAGTTCAATCAGCAATTCGGTAAGAGGGCGCCAGCCAAGAGTATCAGCGCTGCGCCCCAGTTCCCCAGTTTAGAAAAAACCCTGCTCTGGTTACACAAACTGCTGTGCTGCAACAGCTGGTTCAATTAAACTGTTGTATCAAAAAAGCTCCATCAGTTTTTACTAAATCTACATTCACACCTTTTACTAAAACTATTGCAAACTATTGCAGTACCCACTAAATCATAATACAAATAAACCTTGAATGTAGATGGATGTCGAGATCTCATTGACACCAAAACCACAAAACTGTTTTGCTCCTTCAATAGTGTACCATTCTCGCTTCAATCATCGTGTCTACTCTTACTGTTCCACTAATCTAATGTAACCATGGTGATTGTAACAGTAGATGTGATGATGGGAGAAAACACATTTGAATGGGAAAAGTAAGTTTTGTGGATGTCTGACTCTCAACCAGGTCTCGACAGCCATTTGCTAATAAGGTCTAATTTTTATCTAAATAGAAAAAGTGCATCTTTATAATATAATGCAAATTATTGAATATAGTAGAAAATATGTCAGGGTTCAACAATAGTCAACTAAAATTGTTGCATTTACCTCAAATAAAAGGTATTACTGTAAAATTTGTATTAGAAGCCGCGGTTTCTATTAAAATGATACAATGCAACAGAGGGGATGCGGTTTCTATTAGAGCATCTACACAAACTGTGATTTTTTTGTTCTTAAAAAAACGGGTGCGAATTCTATTATGGATGCGGCTTCTAATACAGATATTACAATGCTATGTGTAGTCAAATATTTTGTTTGAATGATTCTCAGTTATAAACCAAATGCTACTGAAAATGAGTAAAACAAAAATCCCTATTTCATATAAAACTGAGATTTATCAGAATATTTTTAAGCTTTTAAGTTTATTTTTGATTTTCAAGAATAAATATAAACCTTCCCCCATCACCTGCATGCATGGCTTTTTAGTAGCTAGCTAGGTTGCTATAGCATTTTCAAGCACAAGTTACTAGAAATGGCTGGTTATGGCTGGTTACTGATGTACTTACAATAAAAGGGACAATTTAGGCTTGAGCAATAACAGAATTACGCTTATATGCATCACCTGGAGTAAGAAAAAAGAATAGTCGCATGAAATGATAATATTACAGTGTAATGTTGAATGAGTGAAGCATTGATAGCTGGACACGGACAAAAAGATATAAATAAAAACGTCTGTCGGAATTCCCGATTCTTGAATTATCAAAGGACAAGATGTAAAGTAACAGACCAATGAAAAGATCTATAAAAAAAAGAATAGACAGGCAACACCAGAAGAATCAATGTTTGAAAACAGTTTTTAAAAGACAGCGGAGTTTGGTCAGGTCAGGGGTCAGCTAAAAACTAATGAGATAATTTTGCAGAGAAAATGAACTACCGGTACTATGTGTCTTTCGCTGAGTAAATATGACATGTCATATGAAATCAGGTATGAAATTTTATTTCACCAAAAACAGTGTATACATTGAGTAGTAAATTATCAATAAATAAATACTTAAAATTAATAATAGTAGTAATTAATTATAGATTCTTAACTCCCAAAAATATATGATAATTTGTGTGTATGTTTTATTTTCAGAGGCTGATACAAGGGGATTTTGTACGTCGCAAATTAGAAACACAGGCAAGTGATGTTCTGCAACAATGCACATTTGGAACATTCGTAATCTGTCCTACCTTCTGGTTTGTTAACCTCATGTAACTCTATATGCTCAAGTGATAAACAAGCAAACACTATCAATTCAAGAATTAGGAATTAATTAATCAGGAAGTTTTAGAACGACATTAGACAGAGTGGTATGGGAGCAAAACTATCTTTTTTTTGGAGGCTAAATTTGGATAATTATCAAAAATATAAATCAATATTAGATCAATATAAGACTGTCGTATTCGGGCATGACTTTGAATTACTTGGAAACAAAATTTTCCGATAATAATATTGAATCAATGTTTGACAGAATGGAATGGGGTGTGACTTCAGCTTGCTTGAAGCAGAATTCTTCGATAATTATCAGATCGTTATCAAAATTTAGATTAATATTAGTAATATCGTGGCCCTACTTTCTGAGCTCTCACTAGATATTTTAAAGTGTTAGTAAAAGTCATAATTGAAAAAAGGAAATAAAAAACATCCATATAATAATGTAAATTTTACTGATTCTTTCAAATTTTCAGTAAATTTTTGAAAACAAAATCACAATTCACTACATTTACTAGTGACAGTTAGATTTATAACAAGATACGACTGAAAGTGGTGGACATTTTGTAGATGAAGACAGAAAAGTGATGGTCAAGTTACTTCCACTCAGCATGAATACTGTGAAATAGCTGCATACAATTTAGTAAATTTGACATCTTAATTTAGCTAAAGTGTCATTTATTTTATAGTGAGAATATAACGGTACTTTCAGTCAAATTAGCTACATCTTGAATTAGCAAAGTATAGATTAGCTAAAATAACATGCTATTTTTTTAGTTTTGAAAATGCAGAATAAGTGCAAGAAGCATCTTTAGTCCAACATAAACAAGAAACAAACTGTCCATGTTATTGTAAGAATGCAAGAAGTAAAAGATTATTTCATTAAAAGTTATAGAAGATTAAGCCATCACGTCAGTAGTTTATTTTTTAAAAATTGCTTCATGGATAATGCTTTGGGAATATTGTCCCTTCAGACAACACTGAATAAATAACTAACGTAGGAAAACAATTACAACAATATACTTCAAAACTAGAGCTAAAAGAGAAATGCGATTCAGAAGTTTTTTGCATGCATCCCGTTGTTTAGAAAAAATACACAGAGAACATGTGCAACTTTATATTATTTCATTTCATATTACAAAGGCAAGGTGAATAATCTGTTTTTGAGCATTGCTTTTATTAGATTCAACATGTAATGCTGCCATAACATTTTTATTTTACATTAAATCACACTATAAATTATTAGAAATTATCTGACAATTATTTGAATATGCTCAAATGCTCACTTTGCATAATTAAAAAATTGAAACTAACCCAAAAATTAATTTTGACATTGTTTCTCACTGCATCAAATAAACAGAGACACAAACCTACCTAGATTAGCTGTGACAACATCTGGTCCATTTCGCATGACAGTAACAGAAGGTACATTACCATAGATGTGTTCCGTAGTATCTGGGGTAGAATCTGGCTCATCCGGCTCATCCGGTTGTTCTCGCTCTTTTAATAGGTCATCCACACAAAGATGAATGAATATGTACTGGGACTGTAATATTACAATTAAAACTGTTTAGATTCATTCCACAAATGTCAGAGAAATGTTTAATAAAGACATAAAATATTAAAACATTCTAATTATAAAATTTGACACCAGCCACATCAAAGTATCATCACCAAAATAGTGTATCAATTGTTTTGTTGACAATAACTGTAGATAAGGCTCCAGCCATTTTAAAATCCAGATTACTGATATTTAACGAACAGATACGAGGATGATAATGGTTTGGGAGTCAAGGTTATATGCAATATACTTAGACATATATATGTGGGAACAGTAAAATTAACAGAAACATTTTGAAAAAAATACATGTACCAGCAAAGTACTGATGTACAGTGAGCATCTGAATCACTGCTACTACATTGACTGGATGTACAGAAATAATAAAACATGCAGCATCTCGACTGACATAGCTTCACTGTTAGCAATGCACATCTCAATTAAAAAATTGAAGATATCATCACAAAATGAACAAATCTGAGAGGTCTACCTGAGGTACCTATTTCATATCAATCGGACGGTTTTCAATAGAAGTTGAAAATGTCACTTTTTAACAAAAATGACAAAAATATGCACCAAAATTAGAGAATTAAAGATATCATCATAAAATCTAAATGAAGTCCACCCATGAAATTTAAATGAAGTCTATCCAAGGTACATATAAACCAAGTATCAAAGCAATCAGGCTAGCAATGTGGTAGTTTTCAAGATGATGTTGAAAAAGTGAAAAATTGACGCAGACACCCACAGACAATCAGAGAAGCGACAGTGGGGCTAAAGACAGCAGTAGTTCTCACCTCAGTTTGGATCATATAGACTCTATGCATTCTCATTTCACATGCGATACCAAATATATCCACGTAGTCATACTCCTTTATATGCTGTATAAGTCTATCTAGTGCAATGAAAGTACCAGTCCTACCAACACCAGCACTGTCATAAACGTACAAAATCAATTATTGAGAGGGTGTACATTATATATCAGAATACAATTACTGTAAATGCATTAATTATTCACTGGATTTTAATTTCGGTATTTTCGCTGATAAGTGAAATGTACTGTATTAAATCTACATGAACATGTATAATAACATAAATTGTAAAATAACCATAAAAATTATTGTTTCCTTGACAAATTCGTGAAATTTAAAACACAGTGAATATGCTCAGAACATTAAAATAGTGAAATTAAAACACAGTGAATATGCTCAGAACATCAAAATAGTGAAATTAAAAAACAGTGAATATGCTCAGAACATCAAAATAGTGAAATTAAAAA